TTGAGGAACAGGTGTTCAATGTTTTCGGGGCCTGTAAGACAAACTGTGCAATCTCTGCCATACTTGTCCTTGTCTATTTGGTGCAGGATGACGCCCGTAAAGATCCTTCTGTTTCAATAAAAAGTCAGTATTGTTAGCCTGATGTATGTTGAATTTGAAATGTGTTCTTAACCAGATGTTGTGTACTGGTATGTTTGGATAAAGTTTCGCCCAGTGTTTATGGGATGTCGGTTCTTTAATAATGCCTGAAATGAGCAAGCAATACCATTTTTTTGTTGAAATAGAATATGTTTTTTTTTTTTTTGAGTACCTGTAGATAGATAAAAAGTCGGGGCGTCATCCTGCACCTCTTGATGTCTTCCTCTCCTGCCAAAGATCGCAGAGCAGTGGAAGGGCAAAGCTGCCTGTATCTTTTTACAAATTTGCACAATGATAGTTCTTCTGATAATTGTTTTAGCGAGTTTGAAATAACCCAAAATTTTGTTTATATCCACTGCTCCGCGATCATTCAAAATTTGCCCAAAGGTGTGAATACCAACCCTTCTCCAGGAAGGGAGATTCAACATTCTCCCATCACAGACCACCTCAAGATTTTTAAAAATTGGCAGCGAGAGACAAGACCCATACCTCACATTTGTTGTTAATTTTCCTCGTATTTTATTCCAGGCGTCTAGACATTCTTTAAAGAAGTTATCAATTTGGATTTCTTTTAAATTAATTATTGAACACAAATTAAAAATGTTATGGGTGCCAAAAGACTGCAAATTAAATTGGAAATAATCGTACCAGATCTGTTTGACTGATGACGTGAGAAACCTTGAAATGGATTTGATTCTTATTGCCTCTTTTTTTGCTTTGATGTCCACTAGTTTAAGTCCTCCTTCCTTGTATGATGCTATTAATGTATAGTGATTTATTAAATTTCTATTGCTTTTCCAGATAAAGGTAGTAATTAGATTATTTATCTTATTAAGCTTTTGGAATGGGAGGTCGTGAATACTAAGTGGGTAAATCATTTTAGAAATGATTAGACTGTTTATTATTACAATTTTCCCTTTTATGGTTAATTTTCTTTGTTTCCATAAATTAAGCTGATTTTGTACTTTTGTGATTGTCTTGTCCCAGGTCTCGTCTCTCGCTGCTTCCGGCTGCTTTCCGAGGTACACGCCCAGGACCTTGACTGTGTCCTCTGCCTCCCTGAAATCCCATTTCCCCGGCGTCCGAGCCGCCTCGCCACAATACATGATTACCGATTTGTTAATGTTTATTTTTGCTCCTGAAGCTAAGCTATAATTTTGTAGGTGTTTAAGTACCAAGTCAACGCTGTTTTCATTTTTAACTGTGACTGTGGTGTCATCCGCATATTGAAATATTTTACAAGTATTGCCTAATGGTGACTTTATTCCTTCGATATTTGTATCCTGTTTTATTAAAATGGCGAGTGGCTCGGCTATCAAACTATAAAGCAGGGAGGACAGAGGACACCCTTGCCTAATGGATCTGTGTAATTGAAAGAAATCAGTAAAATGCCCGTTACATTTTATTTTACTTTCTGCATTCGAATACAATAGCTTTAACTTGTAAATGAAGTTTTGATCAAAACCATATTTGTTTAATACTGCCCATAAAAAATTGTGCTCGACTCTGTCAAAGGCTTTACTAAAATCTATATTCAGAAAAATGCCTTGTGAATTTTCCATTCTTTGGATGGTTTGTTTTATTGATAATGCTATGTCGGAAATGTTTCTTTGAGGAATGCCATATGCTTGAGATGAACTAATTATTGTTGCTATTACCATTTTAAGTCTGTTTGCTAAAATTTTGGAGTATATTTTATAATCTGTGTTTAGTAGACTAATTGGTCTATAATTTTCTAGATCATTCTTTTCCCCTTTGTTCTTGTAAATGATGGTTATGATTCCTTGTGCGAAAGTCTTGGGCGTGCACCCCGTTTTCTCCATGACAGAAAAGACTCGCATTAATATTTTACTGATTTGATTTTGAATTTCTTATAGAATTCGCCTGTGTTACCGTCATGTCCGGGACTTTTATTTTCTCTTAATGAGTCTATGGCATTTTGTATTTCTTCTTCTGTCACTGGAGCATCGCAACCGATGCTATCCTTCTGAGAAAGTGAGGAATCAATCACACAGACAACCTTATCTATTTTCTCTTTAGATATGTTTTCACTTTTGAATAATTGTTGTTCAAAAGTTTGTAGTGTTTCTAAAATGCCTGTTATGTCTGATACTTTTTCACCCTTTCCATTTATTAGTTCTTTTATTATTGCAGTACTTTGCTTGCGTTTCTCTTGTGCGAGAAAAAAGGCTGTTGATCTTTCTCCATCTGTTAAATATTTCGCTTTGCTACGAATTATTGCTCCCTTGCATCTGTTAATTTCTATCTGATCTAATTGTTGTTTGATGATCATATAATTGGTAATATCCGCATCTTCATCTTTCTCCAGATTATTAAGCTCAATGTTTAATTTTTTCCTTAAGATGTATTCATTTTGCAACTCCTTTTTCTTTTTTTGTCTACTGAATTTTATCAAAATATTTTTAATTTCTGCTTTGACCTGATCCTGATTGTTTAAGTTTACCCAGTACAATTTGCTTTCTGGTAAATTGTTTCTTGCGTGGAAAACAGAGTCTCCACAAGTCAACTAAGCTATTATTTGTCATCATATTGAAGAGTAAACTCCTACTTTAGAGTCTTCAGGAAAGTTACAATTTTTTGAAATGTCAGCATCAGTAAGTGCTGTATTAAAATCTCCTATAATGATGCAGTTGTTTGTGAGCCATTTTCTCAACTCATTCAAAAAGACTTTCTTGTGTGTGTCTATATAAGGTGCATGTATATTCATTAACCTATATATTTTATTTTTATAAAGAAAATCCACTACTAACAATTTACCTTGTTTTTCTTTGTGGATCAAATAGCAATTTTCAAAAACACCTTCTCTAAAAAGAATTGCTACACCACCCGCTTGAGTACCCGATATCGACGAGAACATTTTCCCTCTCCATTTATGCTTTATATTCTCCTCCCTTGAACTATCCCACTTAGTTTCTTGAATGCACATAATATCAAATTTTGATTGAAAAATAACAGCCTCAGTTTTTTGTTTTCCGCAGAGCCCACGGGCATTAAGCGAGAGAAGAAGCATGATGAAACGCAAAATTGTCGCCAAATCAAGATCAGGATCAGAGTCCAAATCGACAGCCACTCTCAGTCTCTGAGGAAGCGCTTCGAGGGGAGGCTGGAAAGACGGTAGATGATTTTGCGACGATTTTTGGGACTGTGTCATATCCGGGTCCACGTCGGGAGAAGGAGCAGGAACTCCTTCCTGCTCCTCCTCAAACACATCTGGATTTGTATTTTCCTCCGGACATTTTGTCTGGGACAACAACACGTCTTTACTGACACCAGGCTCCACCGAGTCTACATGTAGCACTACGTCTTGTTTGCCGTCCTGTTCATTTACACATCCCTCAACCTCACTCATCTCCTCTAACTCGTTCACTTCCTCCTCACCCTCTGAGTCTTCTTCCCCAGCACTTTCGTTTTCCGATCCCTCCATGCCTGATTTAGAACTCTGATCCTGATCCTCCGACTCACTGTTATCCATGCAGTTATCCATTTCGTTTTGGCATAATATACATTCTTTTCCTTCTTTTTTCTTGAACATTCCCTAGCATAATGCCCCTGGACTTCACAAGAATGGCAAAAAAACTCCGGACACTCTCTCACAATATGTCCAGGTTGTAGACACATCCTGCACACCTTGACTTGTCTGTCATGAATTACTCTAAAGTATTCTGGTCCTAATACAGTATTAAATCTAACTGAATAAGGCAGAGACTGCACAGTTTCTGTAAATGTAACTTTGACAAACCTTGTTCCATCTGCAATCTTGGTTCCCGGCCACACTCGACGTTTGATTTCCGTTATTGCTTTGACTCCCCAGGCTTGCAGTTTATTTAGTATTTCCTCATCCATAATGTATGCTGGAAGTCCAAGAAATGAAACAATTAATTCGTCGTTTACCAGGTCTTTCCCTAATATTGTTGCTGATCCAATTTTGAAGCCGTCCAGTAATCTTTTCTTTGCTTGTTTGTTGCTGAGCGTGATTTCAAATTTTTTGTCCGTTAATATCCGCCATGCTAAAAGTCCTCCATATAGAAATCTGATGTTTTTCATTAATTCCAAAACCGTGATTCTTTCTTCTCCCAATATTTCAATATGAATCGTGTTGTCTTTGTCGTATTTGTCTTCTGGCTTGTTTGCTTTTTCCATGTTTTCCGGGTTATTCTCAATTTTCTTTGCATTTAAAGGGCTCTGTTGTTTAGTCCGTAAAGATTCCATTGTAACGAAAAAACCTAAAAGAATACTCCCCCAACAGGTAAACCTGTTGGGGGAGGGAAGAGAAGAAAAAAGTAAGTAGACAAAAGCGAAAAAAGCGAAAAAGAAAGTAACAAAATTGACGAAAAAAAAACCCGACTGGAAAATGAGCTCTCTCAATCAGCTGCTTATCCGTGGGCGTTCTCAAGGTAGTGTGGCCGTAAGCCGAAGAGTGTTGCCATGTCCGGCTTTTTGTAAAGCAGCGCAGCCAGCTGGCTCTTCATTTTTTTGCATTTGCCCTGACTATATGTTTGTGGGGCCCACCGTGCTGCTCTGCACGGTTACGTTTGCGTCACTCTGGGGTTGACTGTTGTTCTCTTTGGGTGCAAAAAAGGACTGTTACACATGGACTGTGTTGGGTTACACATGGACTGTGTTGCCATGTGTAACCCGAGTGTAGTTTTAAACCTTAATTTCCTCTGATTTTCTACTCTTTTGCCTTTTAGCCTTAAATCTCGCGATGTTTTAGTAGTATTATGAGTGATTCTCGCGAGATTATTATTTAGCCAATCGCGGTTCAGTACTGGGGTCACATGTACCTTTCCAGTTTACCGGCTAGGTATATTAGCTCAAGCGAAAGGGCGTGAAGGGTAGAACGCTTTGGAAGGAGCAGAGCTGGCAGGAGCTCATTATTGTGAGCCGGAAAAGGAGATGAAAAAGATCCGGTAGTATGACACAAAACTGCGGAACTGGTGAGTATTTCTGTGAATGACTTAGCGTTGGCTTATAATCACTGCTGTTGTGTAGCCACTGAAGAAAAACTGATTGTACACTCCTTTTGATAACCAAAACGGGTAATTTAAATATTTATTGAACACTGGTTTATATTAGTATCTTAAATTTCATGTTAATTGATAATATGGTGTATATTTATTGAATGTTTTATGAATGTAATTTATTTTAGATTTAATGAAATTGCAATTGATCAAATATGATAGAATTATTTATAACACAAAATGTTATTTATTGAATTGTGTATACACTAAATGTTAGATCATATCAATATATTGAGGAAGTGGTCCTGTTTTGTTATTCAGGCCAGGTGGATGGTGAGCTAAGAGACCAGGCCTAGAGCCAAAGAAAGATTTCACCTGTTGGTGATTGAAGATTGCTTGCTTCTCCTACCCAGCTGGTAGGAGAATCCCACAAAGGACTCTGCTCCTTCTTTGATTGGACTTTCAATTACCCAGGACGTGAACCACGCCCTGGATACTCCCCTTGTTTGCGAGCCTGATTAATCCCCATTTGGGGTGGATGGACTAAGGGGTTGTAAGATGAACTTTGGGAACGATTGATTAATTTGTTTTTTCCCCCTTTGTTGTGTTCTTTTTTTCTCCTCTATTTTTCTTTTTATTTCATTGTTTTGTTTTTTTCCTTGATGGCCATTTGCATATCCCAATGTTGTGGTTGTAAATATGTATATATGATATTCACATTGCAAATACAAAACACTCGCAGCTGCAAAACTCTAGCCTAACTGCTCTTTCTTGAGTCGTACCTATTCTTAAAGAAAAAAGAAAGGAAACTGGCCTATTATCTTGGTTAAAAGCCATTTATGTTGAATAACAATTTAGGTTGTCTTTTCAAATATGCTACACATGTCTGGCTTTTTGTGAATCAGCACAGCCAGGTGGTTCTTCATGTTTTGTTTTTGCCCTGACTAAATGTTTGTGGGGCCCACCGTGCTGCTCTGCACGGTTACGTTTGCGTCACTCTGGGGTTGACTGTTCTTCTCTTTGGGTGCAAAATAGGAGTGACATGTTGCAGAAAGTCAGCAGCACCCAGCTCTGCTGCACAAAAAGGCTTACAGCACCTGGTATTCCCAGGCGGTCTCCCATCCAAGTACTAACCAGGCCCAACCCTGCTTAGCATCCGAGATCAGGCGTTTTATTTAGTTTTTTTACAAATTTATAAATTCAATAAAACATAAATGTTGTGCAATTTTATACAGTGAAAAACAAAAACATTATTTTAACAACAAAATACATATCCCAAAAGAAAAAAACCCTTAATTTTACCAAAAACAAACTAATCAGCAAAACCAAAGATTGACATATTAGTTATACCTTTTTACAAAGAAAGGACATTCTCAAGTAATTTGTTTTAAGATTTCCTCATGTACCTTAGAGTCAATACATTGGATTATTTTATGATGCATCTTCAAAAGTCCCAACAATAAACTCCACGCATCGATCTTCTTGTTTTCATAAAGTTTATCATTCCTTGTGATGTATATGGTATGTCTTGCCAATGAAGGAATAATATTGCAACATTCAAGTTGTGTTTTTGTGATTTGTCCATGTGCTTCATAAAGTCCAAAAAGTCTCGTCCAATTCCATTCGTTGTCCTTCGATGGAAGATTGACGTATGCCCTTTTCACAATGACTTGAATCTTCTCCCAGAAGCTGGTGTGATCGGGTGTTGTTGGATCGGGACAGTAGTGGAACAGGTGTTCAATGTTTTTGGGGCCTGTAAGACAAACTGTGCAATCTCTGCCATACTTGTCCTTGTCTATTTGGTGCAGGATGACGCCCGTAAAGTTCCTTCTGTGTTTCAATAGAAAGTCTGTATTATTAGCTTGATGTATGTTGAATTTGAAATGTGTTCTTAACCAGATGTTGTAGACTGGCATGTTTGGAAAAAGTTTCGCCCAATGTTTAAGGGATGTCGGTTCTATTATAATGCTCGAAATGAGCAAGCAATACCATTTTTTTTTGTCGAAATAGAATCTATTTCTATTTTCTGAGTACCTATGGATAGATAAAAAAATAAGGGCGTCATCCTGCACCTCTTGATGTCTTCCTCTCTTGCCAATGATCACGGAGCAGTGGAAGGGCAAGGCTGCCTGTATCTTTTTACAATTATTATCGTTTTAGCAAGTTTGAAATAACCAAAAATTTTGTTTATATTCACTGCTCCGCAATCATTCAAAACCTGCCCAAAGGTGTGAATACCAACCCTTCTCCAGGAAGGGAGATTCAACATTTTCCCATTATTTACATTATTTACAGAGTTTATTTGCAGGTTAATAATTGATTTTATTTTTTGTTTTCTTATTTTTTTCTATTTTTTATTTGTAAGCTAGACAGGAAGTGAGGTGGGTCAGTCCACTTTCTATAAATGTAGGGGCCTGGTAAAGGACCAACAGGCATTTGGGTTTGGGGCCTATGGTTTTTACCAGTGCAAGAGAGGTCAGCAGGAGAACAAAGAAAAATTTGATCATTGTAATTGCTTGCATAAAAGGAAAATAAAAGCAACCAAGACAATCAACAAGTTTGAACCTTAAACTTCTTTTGCCTGTGTCAAGAATCTGGACCCCATTGCCTCATAGTGGCTGATGGAACTTTTTATTTGGATGTTTGGTTGAACAAACAATCGCCACTACAACAAGTAAAAACCTCCCCATGGATCATGTCAGGAACCAGCCTGTGGATGAAAAGGAATAATTCCTCATCAATGGACATGTTGGATTTATGCATCTCAAGGATTATCATTCAACAAAAGGTTTTGGACCGTCTTTGAAATCAAGCGACTTGCTGCGTGAGGCCTGGATTGACACGCCACTCATTCATCAAACTGGTATGTGGCAATATTGTTCAAGTCGTAAAGGACAAACCGTGAAACTACTGGAGTTTAAAGACATTATTTAACTGCAAAGACTGATGAGATGAGTTTGATGTGATAAATTGATGTGTAATTGGATTCAGACGTGCGCCGACGCCCATCATGGAAATGTTTGTTCACAAGAATCAACCTCTTTAAACAAAGAGACAAGTTTGTGCTCCATCCTGTGGATTTTTTGTGGATTAATGTCGCTTTAAAGGTTTGAAATAATTCAAAGGATTGCTAAAAATGTCTGATGTAAAGAGCAAAGAGGATGACACTCAGATGTCACAAGAGAAAAGAAACATCAAATTCACACAAAAGGGTTTGGAGTTTTATATGAAAACATGTCAAGAAAAACAAAGTTTAAAGTGTAAACAAGCTTCAAACCTTGTGGAGAAAATCTCCGCATTATTGACGTCACAAAAAAATGTTAGTGTCTTCTGACTTTGTCAAGTTTATTAAATGCTATCAAGATGCAACTGATTTACATGAATCCTTTTTGAATTTGCATTGCCAGAAGAAGAAGTGTGTCATGAAGTGGTGGTGTTTGAGGTGGTGAGGCAGCACGCTGGAGACCCAGGTAAAGTGAGTAGTGAATATTTAATGAAAACAAGTCCACAAAAACAGAGTCCGCGGCCAGGCAGCACGGCTGAGCGGAAGCCAGGGCTCAACGCCGGTAGCAACTGGTTATACAGGCGGCTAACAAAATCAAAGGCAGACAACGACCTGCAAGGATAATCTGACAACAATACGACAAGGAACAAAGGACACAGGAGGGACTAAATACACTGAGGGTAATCAGGAGAACAAGACACACCTGGGAACAATCAAGGGGAAGACAGGACAAGGAGGAGACTCAGGACACAGAAACTCAGAATTAAACACAGAAAAACACAGAAACTGACAAAGTGAAAAGGCAAACTGCATTTTCAGTCCAAGGTGGTAGCATTTTCTGAATTTATGGACAATGTAAAGGTTTGGTTGCATGAAGCAGGATATCCATATACTGAACAGAACAATAATGTTGATGATCTAGTTGCAGAGGTGGATGAAATAAATCCTGAAAACAGTGTTTCTAATATTTCAAGTGTAAAGCCACGTTCAAAAACATCTTCACAGTTTTCTCGGACTTCATCCACATCTTCTGCTCGCATTGAAGCTGCAGCTGAAAAGGCGGCGCTCATGGAGAGATTCACTGCGTTGGACAAAAAACGTCTGATCGAAGAGCAAGAGGAGAAGCTGAGGAAAGAAAAGGAAAAATTAGATTTGGAAATAGTTGGCAGCAACCAATGCAAAACTTAATGTCTTAATGAATTCAGTCGCTGGTTCTAAACGATGTGATGGAATGAACTCTTATTTTGAAAGAGCTAAAGTAAAGGACATGCCGCTGCTAAATCCTCGCGCTGAGTTTTTTCCCAAAGGAAGAGCAAATTCTTCATCTGACCTTCCTGTCGTCAGACCTAAACAAAGGCAGAAACAACTTAAAACGGATCAAAAGAGAGTAAAAGTTGATTCTTCAACTCAAACAACGCAAACACAATTTCAATCTTCCTGACTGAGAACTGTCAGAATGATATTGTGAACATCATGCAAAGACAAAATGACATCACTGCCTTACTTGTAAAACAAAATTTATCGTCTGTCCTCCCATCTAGAAACATTTCCGTGTTTGATGGGGATCCAATGCAGTACAGATCATTTATGAACGCTTTTGAGAACAGAGTGGAAGCTAAAACTGACAACTGGAGCGACTGTTTGCACTTCTTAGAGCAGTTCACTAGGGGGCAGCCTAAAGATCTGGTGCACAGTTGTCAGCACTTACCTCCTGAGCTAGGTTATTCCAGGCCCAAATATCTTCTTGAAGAACATTTTGGAAATGAAAATAAAATGGCTTCTGCATATATGGAGAAGATTATGAGTCGGACACCAATAAAAGGTGACGATGTGAAAAGTCTTCAATCATTCTCTCTTTTCCTTCAAGGATGTTCAAATCTAACACAACAAATTGTTTACATGAAAGAATTGGATTTACCTTCAAATATGAGAACGATCGTACTGAAACTTCCATATAAACTGAGAGAAAAAT